ACCAGGAAATATTTTGTGTCTGCTGATGTTACCTTTTTTGAGTCTGTCCCATATTTTTCCTCTGGTTCCACTACCTCTGTCAGTCCACAGGTGCCACTACCTTCTACGGCTCCCACTACTATTCCGGTATCTGCTCCTGAGGCTACTGCACCAAAGCCTCTACTGACATACTCTCGCCGTCCTAAAGTACATACACCTGTCTCTGCTCTCGCCGTCCTAAAGTACATACACCTGTCTCTGCTCTCGCCGTCCTAAAGTACATACACCTGTCTCTGCTCCTGCTGACTCTTCTTCTCCAGCTGCAGGTCCATCTCATGTCGAGCCTCATATCTCTTCTGACTTAGATGTTCCTATTGCTCTTCGTAAAGGTAAACGGTCTTGCCCAAAATATCCTATCTCTCTTTTTGTCTCTTATGACCGTCTCACCTCATCATTTCGTCAGTTTGCTTTGTCATTGTCCACTATATCTTTACCCAGGTCACATGAGGAAGCTTTGTTAGTACCCGCCTGGAAACATGCCATGGATGAGGAGATGAATGCACTACTTTCTAGAGGGACTTGGGATTTGGTCTCTCTACCTGCTGGAGCGACTGTGGTTGGCTGCAGATGGGTGTATACCTTGAAATATCGTCCTGATGGGTCTGTTGATAGATATAAAGCTCGCCTGGTTGCTAAAGGATATACCCAGACATATGGTATTGACTATTTTGAAACCTTTTCTCCCGTTGCTCGTCTCAACTCCATCAGAATTCTTTTCTCTCTGGCTGTTAATATGGATTGGGTGATGCACCAACTAGATGTGAAGAATGCTTTCCTTTATGGTGATTTGGACGAGGAGGTTTATACGGAGCAACCTCCTGGGTATGTTGCTCAGGGGGAGAATCTTATCTGCAGGCTGAGAAAGGCCATCTATGGGTTAAAGCAGAGTCCTCGAGCTTGGTTTGATAAGTTCAGCAAGGTTATTTCTAATGTTGTTTTTCAACGTTGTCAGTCTGATCACTCTGTCTTTCTTCGACGCACAACAACTGGTTTGATTATTTTAGCCGTATATGTTGATGATATTCTGCTGACTGGGAGTGACTCTGTTGCCTTAGCTGAGACTAATGAGTATCTAAACCGTCATTTTGTCACTAAGGACATGGGAAAGCCAAAGTATTTTCTTGGGATTGAAGTTGCATATAAAAAACATGGCCTGTTGTTGTCCCAAATGAAGTATGTGCTAGATTTACTAGAAGAAACAGGTCTCTTGGATTGCAAACCTGCAAGCACTCCAATGGAGGCAAATGTTGATTTGTGGCGTGATGATACCTCTCTACTAGATGATGCTGCACGATATAGGAGACTAATTGGGAAGCTAATATATTTGACAATTACCAGACCTGATATTACTTTTGCAGTAGGTGTACTGAGCAGGTTTATGCACAAACCTAGAGAGGTTCATTGGACAGCATCTCTGAAGATTTTGGCATATGTCAAAAGTTGTCCTGGCAAGGGATTGTTATATAAGAAGCATGAGCATACTCATATTTCGGCTTTCTCTGATGCTGGCTACGCAGGAGACATGGGAGACCGAAAGTCAACCTCAGGATTTTGTACTTTTGTTGGAGGTAATCTTGTGACTTGGAGAAGTAAGAAACAAGATGTAGTATCACGATCTAGTGCAGAGGCCGAATATAGAGCAATGGCTCACACTGCTTGTGAGATGGTGTGGCTAAGAAAGTTTATGACAGAGCTTGGTTTTGTTCAGTCTGAACCCATGCCAATGCATTGTGACAACCAGTCTGCCATTTATATTGCACAGAATCCTGTGTTTCATGAGAGGACAAAACATATTGAAGTTGACTGCAATTTTGTCAGAGATGCTTGGGAGAAGAAGATAGTATCTCTCACATTCACTCCATCCTCACAACAACTTGCTGATATTCTTACCAAGGCTACTTCTTCAAAGGTGTTTTCTACTATATGTGACAAGCTGGGCATGGTGGATATTTATGCTCCAGCTTGAGGGGAAGTGTTAGATTAAGTCTATTGGGTATTGGGTTAATGGGCTGTGACCCGTTAACCATACCCCTATTTGTATGACTATATATATATCTCTCTAGTATCTGAATGAATCAATTAAGTTAGGGTTTTTGCTCTCTCAATTATCTCTTTCTACAAATTGAAAGAAAAGGCTCAACGCATTTGTCTCTTTCAATGAACTCCCATAAATTATGTGATGATAATCCAAATTAAAATGTAAAAAACCATGAAATATATAGCTTCTATACCCGGTGACCGGTATAATAGTTGCTCCTGAAGGACATAAATGTAAGAGTCAATAATTTTGAGAAGCGTAAATACCTAGTGAGCATGAAATGCTTCCAGTTTCAACTTCAAGGAGACACCAGGTTCCAAACAACAAACGCAGACGTACCTTCCAGTTTCTACATCAGTTTTAAATTCATAGATCGCAATCAGACAACAAGGCTATAAAATTTCTCATAGCATTGCATGGAATTTGAAGATATATACCTTCTGGTACATAATAAATGAAGGATTCGAGTGGAGACACACAATTTTTTGCAGCCTTTGCTAGTAGATTAAGTTTTCATTACAGTATTTATTCAAAAGAAAAAAGAAAAAAAAAACGTTCTGGTAGTATACATATGAAATTAGCTGATACATTGGCTTATATGTTATATCTTTTGACGACTCTGAGAGCTACACCGATGGGAAACTTCTTCTTCTTGTTTCATAAATCAGAGTCAGATCACATCTTCTCCATTGCCACTGAGCTTATCGGAATCACACATCTCCTCCCTTGCTGCTGAGCTTATCGGAATCACACCGGAGGGAGAGACGAGAGCGTCTATAGGAACATCAGTGGGAGTCATAGGAATGACATTCTCGTCCACAATTTGCAAAGAGTATGCAAGCGCAACTACAAAAGAAATCATCAAGAAAAAAGAATAACCATCATTTGTGTAACATAATTAAGTTATATTTCCAAATTGCTTTCCCGCCTATTTCCATCATCAGAGGGAAGCTGATATGAGGTTATGAATGAAACAAAGAGAACATAATGCATTTGTCTCCTTTTAATGAACTTACCGTAGATAAGGTGAAGATCCAATTTTACACCGGAAAATCATGAATATATAGCCATTATATGCCATAGGACATAAATATAGACACCAAAATTTTGAGAGAGCATAAATATGATGGGAATGTAAAATGTTTAGTTTCAAGATTAAAGATGCACAAAATTACTGACAGCATATGGACATACTCAAAAGAGGCTGCTTCCACTTTCGCTCCATGGCAAGCTCCTTGTACTTCTGTAGGAATACATCGTAATACCTGTAGTGTTGCACCACACAGAATATAAGCATGGAACTGTCAAAAAGTAATTAGATGATCCACAGGCATATATAATAGACTCATCACCATCATTCATCATCAATAACAACAAAAATAACATTAAAGTCTTCATCCAAGAGGCAACAGATTGTTACTTTGGTTACAATAAAGAAGCCTATCAAGGCATTGTAATCACACCTCTCATGGATTTGGGTCAAAATTTTCAAATCAGTAAACAATTGGACAGAGGTAACCGTTAATGGAAGCAGGTACTATTTAAATGAGACATTCTGGAGCCATTTAATCAGGTATGGAAACTCAAAAGAAAGAGAAAAAATAGGATTCTAGAAACTAGAAAAGAAAGAGAAAAAATAGGATTCTAGAAACTAGAACCTTACGCTTCAGGATATGAATTTCACAAGGTTTAACTCTGTTAGAAATTTTGTTGTTTCTACTTCACAATTAGGTAAGTAGATTAGTTCACAGTCCCATATTCATGCAACATCTTTCAACGTCGTACACTGAAAATGGCCCCGCTCACATGCATAAGTTAATTATCAGAGATTCCCAGATATTTACAAAACAGGTTTTTAGAATTCTATCAGCTACTAATGGCATATTGTAACCAGCTCCAGAAACTGAAAAAGCTTTGCAAGCTAATTCCACACTAAATAAGTTAAAAAAATTAATGATGTACGCACCTGGGTCCAAATTGGTTTTCACAACTATGCCTCTGGTGGGAGAACTGATTGGTCATGATTGTTACACAACATAAATTAAATTTCCACCTAAATTTTAAAATATGACTTAAGAGATAACATTGAATTCATAAGTCCATATAAATGACTTCTCTAGGGGGGAAAATCAACATGCTTCACTCTGAAAAATAATTAAATCCAATTGTTCAAAACCACTGAACTTAAAATTCTGACCGTCACCAACCAAGACAAGAAGCATTCTAAATACCCGCTCAACTGATGCTTTATATAAAACAATATATCTCTACTTTTAAAAACAAGTCACATTATGTTTGATGTGAACGTTTCTCTTTACTACTGCTATCTGGGGGGGGGGCTCTATAGTTCCTGAAACTTTAATTAGTCTGAAACGACAGCTTAAGAAATGACTGAACTCAGCAATGTATATGTGCAGTATAATAAGTTCCTCAATGGAACATCCTAAGAAGTAACCAGATTAATAGACACACCCGCCACCACGACCAAGACGTCCTCCCTGTCTGTCAAAGGCAACCCCTGCCAGTATTGCAAAATTAGGGCAAATGAGGACTGCATTAATCAGGTTACAACACCTTGGTTAAGTAAAAAAAAGGAATAACTCACCAGGCAGAAGAAGAATGTCAACTGGGTCATTTGCCAGCATAACTATATAAATAAAGATCCCATTAGTACCATGAGATATTTATAACATAATAACTGTAACTTTTCAACTATAAGATGTAATTCTAAATTAAATTGATAGCCAAGATGAACTTCCATTGATGTAACATAAAATATATATTTCCTCCTTTTTAGGTCCATAACTAGATCAATAGAATCACACATCCTCTTCTTTCACAGTCCATCATTCAATAAAAGAACCAAAAAAAAGGCAGTAATATGTAGATAAGAAGCCCCTTACCATATACTTTCGTTCGTGGGCCCATGACAGTAAAGTTTAAACTCATGAGGCCTAATAATAGATTGCAACAACTTTAGGCCAACAAGCCTAAGTGATGTAGCTGGTTTAAAGTTGCCACTGCTGTCCTCATGTGCTACATACTAGTTATTCTTGGACCGATTGCTTCTGGAGTTGAACCTTGCTTCATGTCACCAGGGTTGAGCTTGTCTGGAAATCAAATTTGACAATTTCTATGGAGTTGCATGGGTTCACTGAGCATTTCTCAGGATAAGCTTGAAAGAAATATGTCTTTAAGTTTTTCTGACTGCATCAGGAGCAAATTATAAAAGAATTAAGATTTTAGCCTGTTTATGGATTAGGATTTTTTTTGATTAATTAGTTTTTTTTCATGTAAGCTTTATCTACAAAGACGAAGGCTAAAAGTAGTTTATTCTTATTTAAAACATAATGCCTTATAAAGGCAGTTACTTATTTAGTGAGGTTAGCAATTTTCGAAATCACGTAATTAGATAATATTAGAATTCTTAGCAACAAATTTAATTTTTCTTCAAAAATGCCATTAGGTGATAATATTAATTTGCATTGGAGATGAATAAATTTTTGTTTAGTCTTTTATTTATCCGTTGATTTATTTCATGTTTTAATATTTAGTTGCAAAGCATGTCTCCTACCATTGTCTACTATGAAGCAAATAGGTCGTTGAGCCAATTCAAGTATTAAGCACTCGCAGTTCCACTCTTCCATGTGCGACTAAATCTCCAACCGCAGCCTTTTAGGTGGGTGCCCTTTTTATCATGTACAAAGCATAAGCTACAATTTCTAGGCACTGCATGCTCACATATAAAATCCAAATTTCCCCCCAAATTTGAAAATGAGACTTAAAAAATCTAGTTTGATACTATCTTCAACTTTGGAAAAGCACAGATGCATGCTACAACATGGTTTCCCTGTCATCCCAAGATCAGGACTCATAAGCATTATAAATTTAGTGTGGGTACTGAAAAACACCAATATGACAGCAGATAATTCCAAAAATAATATGTTACTATCTATTTGCATTCTAAATAAAATGTACTGTTACATTATTAGAAAACTAATATTTTCTTTTACGAGCATCATGTACTGAATTATTTGCTGAAACTCCAAGTAAAGCACCTGCCAGTCGTTTTGATGTTACACTGGTGGAATACACACCAAATATAACAACTTCAGCTGCATGAATTAATCGCAAACATTTGGGTATCATATTGCAAAAATCTCAATCATTATAGCTTTGATAAGTCCGATCAGTATGTGTTAGCCTTTAGTATATTAGCAGCAACTACTTTAAAGTCAAAGTTTGAGAAAGCCCATAAATCATTAACTGTGTAAGGAAGAACATTAAACAGTACCTAAAATATATTGGGAACTATCAGCTGTCCTACATATAGGAAGAGTATGTACCATCCTCAAGTTGATTTCCACTGGCATCTACAGGAGATGGCTCCAGGATATTCATAGAATTTGCTACCAGATCTTCCATACTTGTGATGTTGAGCATCCGCATATGGCTATTTTTGTCCTCAACTCGTGGAACATAAACTTTCTTATTCACCTGTGCATGGCGGTCTTGACATGAAAATGATCAGTGAGGGCTTAGTGTAAATAAACAAACATAAATTTAAAAATACATATATGCATGCGTTATATAGGCCTGGGACGATATAAATATATTTGATGAGCGCTGAGTCACAACTGAATTTTTTATGGGTTTAGGCATCCAAATACAAATTTTGTTTGATATTTGCAGATAACAAGTTGTGAAGCTTAAAACAGAAGCATGGATATAAAGGCAGGACATGAAAACTAGATGATAGGACAATCTCCTAAAAATAGGACAAAAAGATACAACTACATGATTAGAAAATTTCTACCAAGAAATTTGTAAGTAAATCACGATCAGATCTAGAAATCATAATACATTAACTAAATGATGGTTATAAACTTTTAGATAAAATATATAACAGTAAAAACATTCACCTCCACAAGGACTTAAATCAAATAACTTCGCTTTAGAATTACATCTGACTTCCTAAGCTATAAAAGGTCTAAAACAGACAAAGTGAGACAAACTACTTTGGAATGTTCAATCAAACATCCTCTATTGAATTGTATTACGCCAAGGCTAATGCTATCTCTACAAACCCAATGGTTGGTATTGCAGGAGTACACCATAGAATCTGACATTAACAACTTTAAAAACAGATGCATGCAGCTCAGAGAATCACAGTACGAAAGGTAAAAAAACATGTGAAAAAACTAAGCTCGCATTTTCCCCTCCGTCTCCATATATTAATATATTAATATAAGCAACAAAAATGGTGGCCATAAAACATACCGGCATCCTGATTTTTCAGTATCTTTGACAGGATTCTTGACGTATCAACTTCACGGAGAGCCTCACAACTAACGTAAGCACATAAGCTAGAAGCAGACTTGAACCATGAAGAATCCAGAACATTGTTCTGAATTGCCATGTCTGAAAAAGCAACGCAACTTGCATCATGAGCAAAAGTAATATAACAAAAAAACTTTCATTTTTACCAGATAAATTTTCCTGATATTATCGTGAAACACCACAGGATAAATCATTTAATAATGTTATGATAATTTTTAAAATTCCCTATTTGAGGAAAATAATGATCATCATTTGTTAAAAAATTGACATTAAGATAATTTCTCTTCCACGTGCAACACCTAATCAAATAAATAGCAAGATAGGTATGCAATTCAGAGAAAGTATAGAGGCTTTATTTGCAAACACCAAAAAATTACAAGCTGGTATTATATAGATTACAGAATGATGTATACCATAGAGATAACAAGATCATCACAGAGAAAGGTCGCATGCTATTTCACCTTTTATCTTTACATCAAATAAGCAAATACTCTTGATCACTATTACCATCACCACGGAAAACATTATAATCAAAGCCTTTCCACATAAAAATGAACCTTCTATGGAGCATGATGTAAATGAAGAAAGCTCCACAAAAGAATTGATCAAATTACCATAAGGTCAACTAAATCCTCCATGTTCCTACCAAAAGGAAGTATAAGCTAGGGAGGACCAAGGCCGTAAACCTTGATGACCAGTCGGCAGGTAGGTAATTGACCATTTTAGACACGCAGCTTAAGCGCAAGTGAGAAATCCTCCAAGAACCCCCAGATCAAGAAAGCATTTAAGAAAAGGTATGATGATACATTGGGATAGTGTCGTAGTGAATGTCATATCTGTAAGCCAAATAATTGTGCGATTTTGCTATGGGATATAAAACAAACACTGAAACAATAACAAATGTGTGAGTTCAGGAGTGTTAGTTGCGAAAAACATATATGTGCCAAATAAACAGAAAATTTCCTAAACCTATACACGGAAAAAACCATCGAGCACGACTTGTCTTTCCATAAGTAGACAAGAAACCCCTAGTCACCAAACTATCAACATATAACTATTTTCATCCCCGCTCAACTTATTATACCTGGGAACTCCTGGCCATCAAACTATCAACTGATAACTATTTCCATCCCCACTCAACTTATGATACCTGTGCCAGAACCCTTGCTCTTTTGCTCTTGCTAAGATTCTCTTTAATCAAGATGACATCATCACATGATATCCATAGAAAAGATCACAACTTCAAGGTTTCTTAAATCCTGTAAAGGTATTTATCCAATTAAAATACACAACTGCCATCTTTCATAAAGACTTGACGGAATACTTTATCATCCCACTGAGAGGATTCATCATTACTTTAATTACCAAATAATTTCTGATTCTCAATGTAGTATCTTATTATATCACTATGTAGACAACCTATAGGACCTAAGCTCCACATATTGCAGTAAAATTATCTTTCTGCTAGTAATCCTAGGTTATAAACCTTACTCCTAGGTTATAAACCTTACTCAAAGTCTTAGGAATTGCTTTTGTAAGTTGTCATCCATGTCCCCCACCTATTTTTTTCTAAAAAAATCAACTAATATCTACAAGTCATCTCCAAAAACATCATTTGCAGCTTTCAACCCTCTTCAAAAAAATAAAGCAGCTGCTTCGTTCTTTTGCGCCCATGCCGCTATATGTTGTAAGCTTCCAAAGCAGCACGACTTCATAGATTCTCGTTCAAAGGACTACACTTTGTGCATATTCTTTGCTATCACTTCCCTAAAGAGCCTGATTCATCCTAAATTTAGATAAATTCACATTCACAAGCCCTTGCATTCAGTACCCATGCATGAGCTGGTATATCGTCTCCACCTATATCAGGATCTCGAAGAAGTCAAGTGGCGTGGGTCTAAATTACAAAAAAAAAGGTACTCCCAGTTGGAACAGAAAATAGAAGTCATCCACAAAGTCCCCTTCCTTCAAAGCACAACCACCCAGAGATTCGGCATAATATTCACTTGTAGTAGCATCTAGTCTACATGTGCTACCTCATTCATATTTCATGAATGGCATCAGAATCGATAGACACTTGCCACTCAAAGGAATTTTGGACAAACCTGCAGCTAGAGCCTAGTTTCCGGGATTCTGGTTTCAAGAATTCAAAACTTGGTCATAATCATACCTTCAAAAAAACAAAGAAAGATCTTGAACCGTTCGAGTAATTAGTCTAAAAGGTGTTTCAAGCATCCCGTCGCGTCTGTAGGTGAAAATCCGTGCACAGCTGTTTCTAGATTACCACCTTTTTAACTAATGATAATCTCAGTAGAAGGGTTTTTTGGGCTCTTCAGATGACTGTAAGTTTATGTGTCGACAGCAGCATAGCCGCACCGCATCAGTTTTTCCCCACTTATGCATCTTTTCTCTTCTCCCTCTCACACACAATATTTCTCATATATCCAATAAACGAGTGACGGGTTGTCAAAGAAACATTGACTACAACAAATATTCAAGCAATTACGATACAAGCTCGAGCAGCATAAGGAGTCAACATAATAAATAAATAAATAACAGACATTAGGTTTTGCCAAAAACGGCAACTTTTTGAAGAATCCAAAAGTTGTATCAAAATCGAAACGAGGGTTTGCTATATTTATGAGCAGCAAACTAAGGACGAAAGTAAATGAGGACCTTCTTGGGCTCGCTGAGCAGGAGAGAAGGCCTTGAGGTCGCTGCGCATTTTGGATCTGAGAGCGCGCTTTTGATCCGTGATCGATTTCGGGGCGGCGTCCGAGGACATGGCTGCTGTTGATCGAGAGCACGACGAGCAGGAGAGAGGGGAAATTGTGGGAGAGGAGAGCAGAGAGTGAAGACGGAGGAGCATAACAGATCTTGACTTTGCCTTTTGTAGGAGGAGCTGTTGAATTCCTTTACCTCTCATTACCTTTTTATTTTATTTTATTTTTTGGGAGATTTTTGTTTTTGTTTTTATTATTAAACGAGGAGTACCGCTAGCTAGATTTGATGCAGCACGAATTCTGCGTCTACAACGTAAAAGCAAAAGGAATAAAAGCACATTATTTGAATTTCCTTTTACCTTTCTGCATTACTTGGGTAGCAATAGGCTTAAGATAAGATGCTTCCCGAGTGGACGACGACTCGCACCAATTTATTTATTTATTTACTTATCTTGAAATGGTAAAATGTGATTTTATTACATGCTCACAGCTAGAGTAAAAGAAAATACAATACGCATTATCAGATCATAAACATCACGGAGTAGGCTACTACTGCGGTTAGCTTGATAGTAGAACTTCCCAAGTTAATGCATGACATATATTTGTCAAGCATGTCATGGATAGTATTACAACTTTCCTCGCTAAAAGATACCACTAAGCTGTGCTAGGGGTGGTGGAAAGGTGCTAGGGGTGGTGGAAAGAATCCACAAATTTTTACGAAAAAAACACAATAAATCTTGAATCTATTACGGATGTTGATATGATATGCAACAACTTCATATATCCATCAAGCAAACGCAACCCACCAATTTTCGGAAAAAAATAAACACAACCATTTCCTGAATCTATTACAGATGTTGATATCATTCGCGACAACTTCATCTATCCATCAAGCAAACTTCATCTATCCATCAAGCAAACGCATTGATCACAATCCGGAACCAAGCACATAACATGTTTTGTGTTTGTCTACCAGACAAGGTCTAAAAGGCACTTTATATTACCATCCGAAAACAATAGGTTACGAAAGGCCACAGCCTACGAAAGACGAAGAATGGTATGTGCGGGTAGTTTTTTGAACTGAACACAAACCAAGTATAATTTACAGACTCATTAACTCCCCAAGAATAATTTTCCAATAAATCAAGACCTACATCGGTGCCAAAATAAAACACACACACAAAAGACACAAAACTGACAAACAAAAGAATCACTGGCAATTATACAAGTAACCTCTTTACAAGAGAAATTGATGGGCATCATGAACTCCCATGAGATCTCATTGATGACATAGATAGTGCCGATACAGAGGCAGTAGGGCTCTGGACTTCTCTCTCTCCATTGCCTATTCTAGCTTTCCCACTGATTCTGCTTATAGTTTCTTGAGCGATGTCAACAAACCAGTCATCACTTGGAAGCGCACTGCAAAGGAATCATAATAACAGTTAGCCAAGGTCAAATAAGCAGACTGAAGTAACTGATATGTTGAAAATCAAAGCTTCAAAAGATGCTAACAATGGCCCATATAAAAGGCAACAATAGAACAATATTAATATCTGGCCTTGTAATTGACATACCTATCAGGGTCCATTCCAGTGGCAGAAAATGCCGCCATAGCTCTATCTATAATGTCAATAATAACTTGATGCACGTGCCTAGATAAATATCGGCCTTGTCCAAAAAGAATCACAAACTGCATGTCCAAATAAAACTGCAAAGAGAGAATAAATCAGTAAGTGCTGATTGACATAGAAAAGTAACCAACAAATGCTCATTTCATTACAGAAGCTATACCTGTTGAAGGCCGAGAGGACCTAAAGATCTTGGTCCCTCTTCAATATCCTCCCAAAAGCTCTGGTCTTCTGAAAGCCATAATATAACTGTCTCTGTGAGCCTCATCAGTAGCAAGGTAGCGAACCTTTCTCTGCCGACAAACATATCTGCAGCTATGCTTGCCATTCTGGTCAATTTTGCATACAATTCCTGCACACCACAACATTTTGAAGACTGATGAGAACTTCACAATTCCAAAGTCCAACAAAAACACATGGAACCCTTTTAAAATCATTCGTCAAGGGCAGCACACAGTTTGACCTTCAACAACTGTAACCATCAATCTCATATTTCATTTATAGCTATGTAATTAGTGGCTTACAAATGATTGTTAGTTGTTACACTATAGAAACTTCTATAACAGCTGTAACCGTGTCCTAGCTTTTAACAAAAAATAAAAAATAAAAATAGACCACAACAGTTCCTCTCGGTCACACACAATAGTTCTCTTAATAAAGGTATAAACAAGTAAAAACGACAAGTACAAACTATATTTCTTATTGGATATTAAAAGACAAGTAATACTTAATATACTTGGGTTACCGACTCCAATAATGGGTGCTCAGTTTATTGGACTGGCCAACAGAAGAAGATGAAGACAAAGGTAAAAGAACGTCAGTAGATGATAGGGAAGTTGTCTCTATTAAAAACTGAAAGGTGTAGCACTGTAGCTAATAAGTGATAAATCAAAATAATGCTTTATCAGGAAAGAGACCAGTATATTTACGCAGAACTTCATACCTGGAATATTGGAGATGGAGACCAGTCTTGTTCATAACTTGCATCCATACTTATGTACATTTCAGCACTTAGATGGGTGTCACCTTCTTCTGTGAAGATAAGATCAAGTGCATGTTGCCTGCAGAAACTATCACGCAATTTATCAACACATCGTTGAAGTTTCCTTTTCCACTCTCTTTGTTCAGGCATCCGGTTTTGTCTGTCTGAAGCTTTTTTTCGAAAATCATCCATCCCGCTGGACTGATACATGGGTGAGAGTTTCATGGCTGCTCTAGGGAGCAACTCTTCTGCTAACAAAGATGCATTGGCTAACAAAGCCAACTGTTGAGTTTCAGTTTCTGCCATCCTCACAATTTTATTACCAGAGCCTTCCAAGTTTTCCTCATCCTCCATTGAACCAGGAAGAGCATTAATAAGCAACTTTACATAAGAGTTGAATACTCTTAAAAGGCCATTCAAAGTTGAACCACCCAATTGCATACTTAACAGTGGTCCCACATCTTCGAAGAAATCCTGCCAGGGATCCAGAATAGTAAGACAGAAGAAATTACAACTCCGAAAAGAAGACAGTAAAAGACATATTTTAATCTCATAATATAGCAAAATTCTACAAGTACCCAAGAAAATTGATACACAATAGTAATATCCAGTAGAGGAGCTACCCAAAAAAATTTTAAAAAAAATTCAAAAGGGTAACCTGGCAAAAATCAGATCATGCCAAGGAGAGCTAGATAAGTTTTACGTTTATGGACATAAGACTTTCCCAAAGAAACAGATAATAATTAGCGCCTACGAATACGTGAACAGACAAAAGAAAGAAATATGCAGTGAGCACTGAGCGAACTTAAATTTTGTTATATAAAAAAGGAATTAAGGATGGCTATGATAAAATAGCCATCACCTACTCTTAATGAGGAAACTATTTACTTTGCTAGATCAATCTTGCTAACTTAATTTGAAAATTCTATTGCCTTCGTTATGATGCATGATTTGTTCTCTGCAGACATACATACTTCAACTCTTTTGTCCATCCATGACTACGCATAACATGATTGCATAGGGTTTTCAAATGTTTCTAAATATCTTATCAATTTGATGACAGCTATGATGTTAGCTAGTGAAAACTAAATTTCTAATATGATAAAAAAATCATGAGTGCTCTTGTTTTCATGCTAATATTTCTCAACAGTATTTAATTTGGACTGACAACTATCTCTTTATGATATATGGCCCAATGCATATGAAGGTGAGACGACAGGAATTCCAGCCCAAGCGATGCCGTGGACCACTAAACAGCTGAGAATAGCCTTCAAAGGCAATATGAAAGGACAAAACTTCAGATGACTACCAATTAGGTAGAAGAGATATGCAAAATAAACTGCAAGATGCAGACAATAGCTGGAGCATACACAAAACACAAAACAGGCTTTACCAAAGGAAAACGAAAAATACTGAACCCTAATGAAAGCACATCTGCAAAGTGCAAACACAGTTCTCTTCCAAGCATAATCAGATGCGTAAAAAATGTTGCATTTGCCCAGTAGCTGAAAATTCAAATGTAATCAGGGTATTATCCACCAAACTGCATTTGATGTAATGATCAATGGCAGAAGCAGTTTGCACAAAATGATTTAGAAATGGATTACACTCTACTAAGGTGAATAATGAATATATATTTATTACCTGAACCATAGAATTGAAACGATGTGCACTGCTTGAAAGCTTTGGCTGGGTTGTTGCATTGATATTTGATGTTCTACTTGATGTGCGGGGTCCAGACGGTGGAAATGTAAGTACCCAATCATCAGCAGCGGCCAATGCAGCAGTACTCTCTTCAATTCGTTTTAAATTGGCATCAAGTGCTTGCTCAACGCTGGGCTTGAAAAGATTCATAAGAACAGATGTAAGTGCTAGTCCGCGATTTTCAAGCAAAGAACAATGTCCAACAGCAATTTGAACACATTCTGCAGCAGCTCTTAAACCTCCAGCAGCTGCAGATGAGGCCAATGCGTGCCTTTTTACAAGTTGCGCAAAAGCTTCTGTCTGCTTTGTAGACCATGCAACCAACTCTGACATGTATGCTGACTGATTACCAAAGACTTCTAAAGAGTCATTTACAGCTTGTGCAATGGCAGAGAAAACTTGCTGTGAGAGAGCAGCAGTATATGCTCCTCCATAGGAAGTGCTAGTTGGATGAATAGTTTGCAGATTATATTGAAGTCTTTGGTTATGAGCAGTTAACAGCAAACTATGTGCACGATGACCATCCCCAAGCCTTTTAAGAGCTAATGCAGCTGCACGGAGCTCAACACCACGAGTTGAAGGTTGGCAAGCAGCTTCAGAAAGCTGATCAGCCAATTTTTGGCGATGATCAGCAATTGCAGAATCCAATGACACTAATGCAGATGTACTGAGTTTTTTGTTTTCTTTTGCATCTGTAGATATGCGTTCTGCCTCATCCAGGGCATCCAGAGCTTCATCCACTCTCCTCTCAGCAAGCAAAACATCGAGCATATCAGGAAACTCTAACAACCATTTCTCTATATCTGAAGGTTCTCTATCTTCAAGGTTTAATATATCATTAGCAGTAGAAGCTTCAGAACCAGCAGATAAAGAATCAACTTTAACCCCCTCAGCTAGATTATGAATTAAAGCAGCCTGGGTAGATAGCAGGTTTCGAATTGACAGAAGTTCGCCTTCTAGGTCCGATATTTCCTTTGATGTTCTGTGAAGGAATTGCCAAAAGCAAAAAAAGATTTGAATATGAAAACTTAATGTATTATCAGACAGAGGAAACTAATCAGCAGTTCAAGTTGCAGAGACATGAAAATCAAACTTGCACTATAGTTAAGGTGTTTGTTTCATTTGAAATGTTAAACTCTTATTAAAAAAATTAACATATGAAGTGGATTTTATAATTTAGCTGAAGGAGTTTTCTTACACTTCGATGTGTCAAAAAATTTAGATAAGATCAAGTGGGAAAATAGACAGAAAAAAATTAAATAAATAAATAAAACTGTTGAAGGCTAGACAGCATAAAAGATCTACAAAGGAGATCGCATAGGATTAGACATTCTGCATATGTAGCTGGGAGAAACAACAAAATCTGGCTTCTTCAAGCTGTAGTTATTTAACTTATGCTTTTCTAAAAGACCCTTTTGAAATAGATTGGCAAACAATAGAAATTTCCCAAAAATAGTTTCCTTTCTTAAAAGCAGTCTTAACAAGCAATGCCAAAAACAGTATTAGATCTGATGCTTTTCAGTTTTTTACAGAATTTTCAACTTGTCAAAGAAAACAATCATGAATTTAATTTATGTTCTACATAGCTAGCTTGAACTTTTGTTTGTGTCAGACAAAACAACTGTGTACGGAAATTTTCAGAAAGGGTATTCTGTTATTTATTCTAATCTCCTAACTCCATTTCTGGAATTTTTTGAAATTTAAGGAGGATGTTGTGGTACACCCAAGTTCAGAGGGTTTTCTCTGATTTTTAATGTTGGTGGCAATTTTGTGCAAATCTCCCAAAAATTTATTAACTTTCTGAAATTTACCCATTAAAGGATATATAAAAGATGAGCACCCCGTGTGGGAATCATCCTACAAAGTCTGCATGGAAACATACGGTGGACCATGCAAGAATGACCAACGCTGCTCATCATGGCCTCCATCGCGTAAATTATCTTGAATACAAAACAAGTTAGTTGAATCTTATGACTCATACATCAAGGGAAACACTTTCATAATTTAATGGCACACGAACCAGTTTAATCCAGGGTACAATGTTTCCAAATCAGAATATTATCATCTACTTATCTTTCATGATATGGATATCAGGATGGATTGTGGGGATTATCCATGGAGGCCATGGGATGGTCAACCACATGCTTTTAGGGGCTTAGTGTAGAAAAATTTCCTACATAGCTGCTTGTTTCCGTTTTCCATTATATTTTTACATCAAAGACTTGAGCAAGAAGAGTTAAAACATAAATATCAAAGTTAATTAAAGAGGTTCAGGAGTTGTTTACTAACCTAATAAATGCTGCATAGTTAGCATAAACACTTCTGCGCATTTCTTCGGCGGAAGCCTTCTTTAGCTCTTGTAGATAGGAGCATAAGTGCCTTATCTCCTGAAACAAAAATGTAAGAGTGCAAATGAATTTCTCAGACACAAATTAGATGCCAATAAAATGTTCTTTAGGAAAACCTTGCATATAAAGAACACTCAAGATTCAAGCAAACTACATTAATCTACAGATATAAATGAAGCACAAGATGGGAATGGTACCAAGAGAAATATGAGCAACGTAAGTGAAGGTTACTGCATGTCTGAGTCAGAAAGTAAATGGAACCTCACCTTTTTAGAGAGTTTTGTGTGGGTTTAGTAGGTAAAACCCCTTGATGGTTATTCAAATTTCCAAAGATGGTTCCATTACTTATGAAACCATTAATTCAATAGCTTCTTCTATCATGAAAAAGAAAAATTCGGCAATAGATGCAGAAGTAGGAGTTTCAAGAACAGGGTCAATCTTCCCAACCTGACCATTATTTCTAGTTTCAGCAAGAACTATTAACTGTTTTTCTAATTAAAAGAATGAACATGCACATTTCATAGGAGAAAACTGCACAAAAAATTTATCCCTAGCCCTCAGACATTCTATCTTTTAGTTACAGGGATGCAGTGGACGCTGGTTTCCCGACCCCCATATTCATACAAATACATTAAATATGTGCCATCCGTCTTTATCATGCAAGTTCAAATGTTACTTAGAGATTACAGAAAATAAAGGAATAAATCAAAAATCATTCATTCAACCACCTGAGCCTATACTAAAGTTTCAAACTTCATGATAACCCAATGTCACATTTTCTCCCATTCCAATACAAGCCAATTGAACATTTTCTCCGATTTCACTGAAGTCTTCAACTTTTACTCAAGAAATAGCAAGAAGTAATTTATTTCAGTATTTTAGTACTTATCTGATGCTTAACTCAAACTTTGAAACAACTCAATACCATTACCACTCTCAACTCCCAAGGCCTTCAATATTAATTAACTTAATACTTTTCTCATTATATATTACATAGAATATAAATTTATGAAAATCAGTCTAACCTGAAAATCTATTTAATCAACAACAAGAGTTCTGCATTCGAGTAGTACCACAAGAAAGATAATTGTTAAAGCTTTTACTCGTTATATTATATATGGTACATAGCTTTACCCTCCATCATGCTATGAAATCCTAGCGTCCCCTTTACCGTCCTGTTGCAATAAGACTTAATTCAACATTGCGGTTTATTCTACTTTAAAGGTTCAACAATTGCTCAACAAATGGCAAAAATTCTTTGTTTCCTGAAGTCTCACCCATCCCACGTTAAGATTTTGAATTCTACAAAGTGCTAGAGTACTATTTACCACATCCAAATCCTATATCGTTTCACATTATCGCAACTTTTTTCAATTTGAATAATAAAAAATCAACTTTTATCTAGAAAAAATTGCAGAAAACATCATTCATCCCAAAATAGAGCCATCTCACTGTAAAGTTTTAAACTTTATCACGCCCCCATATCAATTAAATTTCTATAATTCCATTAAAAGTTCAATGGCTCATGGAATACCAACGCATCCTTTATTTTCACTAGCATTGCGCATCCCATGCTAAAGTTGCAAACTTTACTATAGTCCAACGCCTCAATATATCACTCTTCATTCTGTTATGAGTGATATGGAACCCTTTCTTCTACTTGTGTGAAAAAAGTTATAATTTTTCTAAATTTTCCTAAGCTTTCCCCAAAACTTCATACTGACAATTGCGAAAATCGATAATAAACCCGTCCATCTTTATTACACAAACTTAACACCTAACAAAAGAAACCAAGATCCAATGAAATACAATATCAAGACCTAACCTTTTCATTCATTGTCTGACATTTCGATTGAACGTACGCATCAGGATCAAAGTTATCAGTTTTAAAGATCTTGAGCTTATCCGCGAGCTGGACCCCACTCTCCGTCGCGCTCGGCTGCTGCAATCCCGATGAAATCACTCCCGAGGGAGCTGATGCCCTAGATCGCGACGATTTAGCCGAAGCCATTGATCAAAACCAAAACAAAAACTCAATTGATCTCCTCGAATTCTAGATTGGGGATTGATCAAATTGCTCGATTTCACCGGCAGTGACGGGAATCAGGTGGAGGGAGGTGACGGGACTCGATGGAGGAGATGGTCGACGGTCATTTGGCAGAACGCGGTGGTGAGTCTGAGGTGAGTTGGGCTGCGTCATTTTCCTTTATTTTCTTGCTTTTTATATTAAAATGTAATATTTATTTGCTTCCTTTTTCGTTTTTGTTTATTTTGTTAAGATACAATTATTCTATGTTATCTCGACCAAGGAAAACGGTCCTGGAGATGATTTTTCAGTCTAAGCTGATAGCCTGACAGTAGGGCCCCACTCGTTGTTAATCTAAACAGAAATTATTCTGGGTATTTCAGTTGTAATACAACTAGATTTTATGATCTTGAGTCAAAATCACTCTGAAAATATAGGTTTCTTTTGTTTTCTGAGAATTATTAGTTCTCCGTAAACAATAGGGTTTTCATTGTCTAGAATAAATATAATTTAGATCTTATTGAGTATTCACGTCCACTTAAGAAATGAAATTGTTTTTATTGTTATATTAACATATATATAAAAGATACCCTGAATATACAATTTCATGTTCTTTTATGCATCTTTTTCCAGAAAAAGATTATTATAGGAATAAAAGGAGTTGTAATGAGATATATATATATATTAATATAAACTTTTTTTAGAATACATTTACCTTTGAAAGTGTTGTCATCTATTATTATTTAGTTCTTGTTAACTGTGGATTTTTTATGGTCTTATATATGGAACCAGTGTAAAAAGTTGGCCTCCAACTATGAAAATATAGGGTTAATTACACAAAACCACCATAAACTTGGTGGGCTTTACACATAACCTCTCTAAAGTTTGTTTATCTCACATAACCTTCCCTAAACTATGGAGTGTCTTACAAATCTCCCCTAAATATTAGCTTATCTCATCTAACCTCAGGACTGCATTTTGCAAATAACTAAAATATCTTTGACTAGAAAATTCTCAAATTTTATCATCTGTTATTTACAGACAACATACTCCTTTAGTTAAAGTTTGAGTTTTTTTCCTCTAAAAAAACTTATACCATCTTCATGCGCTGGCTTAATTTTTACACGTGTAGAATTGGATATTTTATCACTTTTTTTCATTAAATTGAGGAGTAATCATAAAAACTTATCTTCACATCCAACCTTTTCCCCACAAGTCAAGCAAAGCTCTTCCAAAACAACCAAACAATTTTCAACTTCCCCTTTACATATCCACCGCGCCACTTTCTTAAGACTTGAATCATTTTGGGCTTATCTTCAGTTTGATAGAGATTCCATGCAGTACATTATAACTAAGCAAAAAACTAAGGAGTCAATAATTGTTAAGTTATGTACGGCTTGGCTTCTTAAGTATTATTCTTAACCAAATAAAGGGGAAGAAGAATAACAAAGATAGCTAATACACAGCCCACCAACCTTCTCCATTCCAAACCACCTCATCTTCTTGCAACCACTCTGCATGTTTATTGTGTCTTTGCTTGCAACAACTACAACAGGTTGTGCCTTACAAATCAATCAATGTATGTAGTGAACACGAAATCATATAAACTTTTTGTTCGTGTTATTGCAAAGAAGAATATTCATTTGTCAGAAATGCAAGATTAATTAGTATCAATTAATGATACCAATTGGTTTGGTGCTTACGAGTATGCCAACTCTCATGATATGTTAGCAGTGTGCAGAAAACAAGTTATGTAACTTCATTTGCGAATAAATTAACAGGTTTAGCATTAATATAAGATGTTGTTGTGAATTCGTAGTTCACCGGATGCATTTGCTCAAATTGGTCATGGTTATATGGTGATGGTCTTATGGTTTATGAGAACAATTATGAGGATATCTTGTTATTAATGGAGAGCTTAAAACTTGAAGATAAAAGATGACAATGGAAAAGGTTTATGAACTAATTACAATGAGAAAAGCTCTAATCCAAAATGCAGTAGGCATTGCCGTTATACGTAACCCATGAAGAGGAAGAAACTGATAGAAGAAAGAGCATTTGACATCAGAACTTACCAATGCTCGGTCTTTGATCACATAATGAGCCCGGGACATTATAGGAAGAATTTAAGGCTGGGGTGCTGAGATATATTAATGTAGTACATGTTAGATCTGAATCATAAAACTTGAGATCTAAAACCATATAGCCATGATTAATTCGAAGAGATTAACAAGAATCATAAAGGAGCGGAAGCTTATACCTGAATCCATTGCTTGAACTTGAGATGGGTTTTGATCTTCTAACCTTAGGGTTTCTCTAAATCCGAATTTCTCTTACTAGATGGGGTGTAGAGAATTAGAGAGTGTAACCCTAGGTTAGGGACCATAACCCCTTATTTATAGATGTTGTACATTTGTAATTTGGCCCTTCAACAAATTACAATTACAACCTGGTATCTACACATATAACCCCATGGCTTATTTAAATATCCAATTAACCCAAATTAATTGATCACTTTAGTGGGTTATCCTAAAAGATAGCAATACACATTGATTAATCATATGTGCCCACAAATAGATTTATTAGATTAAATTCAATAATCTCCCACTTGGGCACCATATGATTCCTTAAATTGTGTATAACCTTATGAGCTCAAAAATTGCTATCACTGAAAAGGTATTTCCGAACAATCTCGTCCATTGACTATATCAATATAGGATCAAAGCGGCCTTCGTCACATTTATCGTGACTCGACCCATCAATGGTCACATATACCAATACAATCAAACGACATAGATCAATCATGGATGTGCAGCATGAAAATTACATGCAATGTGATCAGTACATGTCTATTTTCAACTGGTCCTCCTTAGTGAGGTCAAAACCAAACATAATGTAACAGAGTGTCTTAACTGAATACTTTATTCTGATCAGACAATACAACCAAACATAAAGCACCACAAATACAAACTCCCACTAAAACATAATATCCTCAAATAATACCACACCCATATGAGCAGTATGCTCATGAAAGACCTTAGGTGGCAATCCCTTAGTAAGAGGATCAGCTATCATGGAGTTTGTCCCAATGTGCTCTATGGATATCTGTCCACTCTGTACCCTTTCTTTCACAACCAGGAACTTAATGTCAATATGTTTTGACTTAGTTGAGCTCCTGTTGTTATTGGAATACATTACTGCAGATTTATTGTCACAATATAGCCTTAGTGGTCTTTCAACATTTTCCAAAATGCGCAGTCCCGTGACAAAATTTCGCAGCCATATTCCCTGATTGGATGCCTCATAGCAAGCTACAAATTCTGCTGCCATAGTGGAGGAAGCTACTAGTGTTTGTTTGACACTTTTCCATGATATAGCTCCTCCTGCTAACATATAAATGTAGCCTGATGTAGACTTCCTGCTATCTTGGCATCCAGCAAAATCAGAGTCCGAATACCCAATGACCTCTAATTTCTCTGATTTTCTGTATGTGAGCATGTAATCTTTTGTTTTCTGAAGATACCTCATAACCCTTTTGACTGCTATCCAATGATCCATACCAGGGTTGCTTAAGTATCTGCCTAACATCCCAACAATGTACGCAATATCCGGACGCGTACATACCTGAGCATACATTAGACTTCCTACAGCCGAAGCATAAGGAATCTTCTGCATTTCTTGAATTTCAAGGTTACCTTTAGGGTACTGATTGAGACTAAACTTGTCTCCTTTAGCAACAGGGGTATCTCCTAGTCTGCAATCTTGCATGCCAAACCTTTTAAATACCTTATCGATATAGCTCTTTTGTGATAATCCAAGAATACCCCGAGAGCGATCTCGATGTACCTGGATCCCTAATATAAAAGAGGCGTCCCCAAGATCTTTCATCTCAAAATTCTTTGATAGAAATCTCTTGGTTTCGTGCAACATGCCTATATCATTAGTGGCAAGCAAGATGTCATCCACATACAGAACCAGAAAAATATACTTACTCCCACTGAACTTGTGATATACACAGTCATCAACAATGTTCATCTCAAAACCGAACGAGATAACTATTTGTTGAAACTTATGATACCATTGACGAGGAGCTTGCTTGAGTCCATAGATGGATTTCCTTAATTTGCAAACCATATTCTTTGGGTCTCCTGACACAAAGTTTTCTGGTTGCACCATATAAATCATCTCATCAATGTCTCCATTGAGAAATGCAGTCTTAACATCCATCTGATGTAACTCAAGATCATAATGAGCAACAAGTGCCATGATTATTCTGAAAGAGTCTTTCGATGAAACCGGAGAGAAAGTCTCTGTATAATCAATGCCTTCCTTTTGAGTATAGCCTTTAGCCACAAGACGTGCCTTATACCTCTCCACATTACCATTTGCATCCCGCTTGGTTTTAAAAATCCATTTACAACCAATTGGTTTTGCACCTTCTGGTAATGGGACAAGTTCCCAAACCTTATTGTCTTGCATAGACTTGTACTCTTCATTCATGGCATCAATCCACTGTTGAGAGTTAGAACTTTTCATGGCCTGAGAGAAGTTGATTGGATCATCTTCTAACATTCTACTACTTTCCTCATGTTCTTGGAGAAATACAATATAATCATCCGAAATAGCATTTCTCCTTTCTCTAGTGGATCTCCTTAATGGCACTGGTTCTTGAGATTGTTGATGTCACGCCCCGCTTCCCAAAATACCAGGGAATCGGGACGCGAGCAAGCCCGCGGCGTATTAGACTGAGGAGAGATAAGTGCTAGACCTCTTCTTCTCAATCTAATACGCTAAGCGTCTGGAAATAAAACAATACGAAGCCACAGGTCCCCGATCACACATAGTAAGAATATAAAGACAACCCAGAATAAAATAGACATATCATCAATGGTAAATCATCCCAGACATAAAAATATGGGTCAAACACACTCTTATTACAAAAATGGTTCAACTAGGAATAAAATACATAGTCCACAATAAAAGTA